GGTGCATACGGGACCGAAAATAAACAAACATAGAAATATTATGATTAACTGCTCGAGGGCAACATGAAGACGGAGGGAACTGTATAAATTATCGTTAGATGATATACTGATTCTTCTGTCAAAGGTGAGATTGATTACCCGAAAAAAAACAAAGAGGAACAATTAAAGACATCTTCACATGAATTTCAAAGAAGAAGTTTGCATTCAATATCAAGAGAAGGTTGATATTTAAGATTTCATTTAATGCATGCATTAATCTGAAGCAAGTGAGAAACACAACAACCAAGTCTATCTTGGAAAACGTAAGTAATAACAATTTGGCAAACGACTTGACAGCTCGGATGCGTTGGATGTTTACAAAATCAAAGACGGTCGGAGAAATATTACACAATCACAGACATGTGCTTACATAAGCACCGAACTTTAATTGTGCAGTATCCCGACTTCCAAAACTTGAGAACCACATTGCCTGCAGATTAAGTGAAATCATAGAAAATCAGCTCTAGTGGAATGCAAAAAATGTACTCCATATGAACGAAAGAATTGGAAAGGAAGAAATTAAAAGGACAATCATCACTACCATTGCAAGTACACCATGACCACTAAGGAAGAAAAAAAAAATTAAAATATATGTCTCTACTTGCATAAAAAAAAAAAAATGATATGAAGATTTTTCTTCACATATCATAAGTATGGGAAGTAAAAAGAAGATTGACACAATGTATCCTATCACCATTGGACTGAAATCCCGGAGAAACTTTTGTGGAATGCCGTAAAATCTGGTACGAGAAGACCCGAAAATTCTTTTCGGAATCGAATCACTACGAAATTATACAACAAACGGAATCTAAAATCACTCAATTGACCAAAAATACGTATCATGGATGTAGGCTGAAGAAAATCGCAGAATGGGATGAACAAGGATCATACGAAAATGCGTATACAATTCCAAAAAACAAGGACGTCACCAGCCACCGACCAATTGTGTCGACATATAAGGACTCATTTCGGAAAGCATCAAAGGTACTATCAAGAGCTATCAACTTCATGTATGAAGCATTGAAAGTTGGTTTCTCACTAAAAGGAACAAACCAACTACTACCTAAACTGAAGAAATGCAATCAAGTAGCAAAAGAAACATACGGGGATATGGCTACGATAATCTGCTCCACATACGACGTCAAAGATATGTTTTCGAATCTCGATCACACATATATCTTAAACGTCATGCAATGGGTGATGAAAAGGGCGAAAGAAAAACGAAAAACCCACTTGTGTTACAAGATGAGAGGAAAGTACATGAACTTTGAAAAAGCAAACGGAACCTACAGATGGAGAACATTAAAAATTGAGTGCCTAATGGATCTGTTGTACCATGACATCAAACACGCATACTTTAAACTTCAAAGTACAAGGAACATTATTACGCCAAGTAATGGGGATACCAATGGGGAAGGGCTCTAGCCCACCCATTGCCAACATGGTATGCGCGTTCGACGAGTACAGATGGTGTGCGCAGACTGAAATTGATGAGAAACTTATGCACGATATGAGTTTTGTGGACGATGTAATGATGATCATAATAGCAAGTAAGGAAGATTAAACGAAAGAGTTGGAATGTCTGAAATATTTTCAAAAATGCTACCACAAATTTCTAAAACTTGAAATCACATCAAACAACGCGAACACAGAATGAATATATCTGGAAACAAGGGTGACGAAATCAATCAACGAACAGAATCATAAGATATGATGAAAGTAGCTCCAGATTGAAGGCATGTTGGAAATCGACGACGACAAGGACAACACAGAGAGCGACTGCGGGAGATCCTGAGGATAGATGATGAGTACACTGCAAGGATAGGGAAAGTGGCGGAGAAAGACTGGGAACGAAGGGTGTAAATAATGAGGATAGTGGCTGAAATGATTACCTGAGCAGTGAGGTAGAAGGGTAATCGCGACTAGTATCGCATGCCATGGACATTACGTGTATGCTGTGAAAGTAAAACCTCGCACGTTCTGTCTACATTTGCATGTGTTTATTTTTATTTTTATTTTTTTTCCTCTCTCTCTCTCTCTCTCTCTCTCTCTCTCTCTCTCTCTCTCTCTCTCTCTCTGGTAGCCCCTCCCCCTCCCTCTCTCTCTATTTCTTTCTCTCTCTCACACTCATAACAATAAATGGAACAAAACCCCTCTCTCTCTCTCTCTCTCTCTCTCTCTCTCTCTCTCTCTCTCTCTCGTGTTAGCTCTTAGTCTCATTGATTTGGCTACCTTAGGGTTGCGTTCCCCGCGCCCACACGGTAGACAATGCAGTTCACAGTCCTAAGACTGCGGTCTACTGGGGTTCAACGTCTATGTCAAGGTGTCGCATTTTTTTGCGGCGGGCGACCAGGATGCAAAGTGGGTTTTTAGGGGGCAAAAAAAATTGGGGAACCGGTCCTTGCAAAAATTGCGAACTACCTACAGCTACCTCTGGTAGAATCGAGACTTTTGGAAAAAGGAAGGACCGGTTCTCGGGTGAAAGTGGACCCCAAAAATAAGTGGGGGGCGTTGGACGGGTCCACGGGTGAAAGCGGATCCGAAAATAAAGTGAGGGCATGTGAACTGCAAAAGGGCCTTCAGGCCCATGCGTTGAGGCCCGACTTCTCAAAATAGGGAAATCAGGCGCAACGAAACAAACGTTTTGCAAGAGGCACCTTTGACGATTTTCTATACTCGAAGGAACCTGCAGAAAAATCTGAAATTTTGAGAATCCATAGATGAGGCCGTGTTCTTTCCAGGAAAAATATTATAACATTTTAAAAAGATCATTTAGACTGGGAAATAATTGTCGTGCCGATTCGGCACATTTTCCATTTTTACCACTCAGCCATGTGTGGGCCAACTAAAAAAGTACTTAAAATTCAGCGACTTTTCACGCTCAGAAAAATGCGTGAAAAGACATGAAATTTGAGTATTCGTAGATTTTGTTGTGATATTTCCAGAAAAAACGCTAAATAAATTAAAAAAAATCATTCAAACTGCGAAATAGATCGCGGCCGCAATTTGATTCATTTTTCAATTTTGCCATTCAACCTCTCTCTCTCTCTCTCTCTCTCTCTCTCTCTCTCTCTCTCTCTCTCTGGTAGCTCCCCCCCCTCCCTCTCTCTCTATCTCTCCTTCTTTCTCTCTCTCTCTTTCTCACTCGTATCAACAAATGGAACAA